ATCCGTCATCATAATTTTCGTCGTCGTACATCTCTTAATCCTCGGGATGTCTCTCACTATCGGTCGGAGCATCCGTCCTGGTGTTGTCTACGTCCTGCAATATCTGTTCGTCCAGGGCGCCCTGAATTTCACACAACCGCTGGTAATTGCCGGGTTGTGTCGCCAGCTCCGCATGGCTACCCATCTGCACACATTTGCCGTCTTCCAGCACCATGATGCGGTCTGCGTGCATCACGGAACTCAATCGGTGAGCGATGATGATGGTTGTCTGGCGGCCTTTGCGTCGTTGCAGGGCATCAAGAATGAGTTTCTCGGTGCCTGTGTCCACGGCAGAAAGTGAGTCATCCAGCACCAGTACCGGTGGGTCTTTAAGCAACGCCCGCGCCAGAGCCAGGCGTTGTCGCTGGCCACCTGACAGAGTCACCCCGCGTTCGCCGACCATCTCATCAAAGCCGCCGGGGAAGCCGTCTATGGAGCTATGAATAGCCGCTTCTTCACAGGCGCGAACAATGTCGTCATGGGGTGCGCCAGGACGTCCAACCGCCAGATTGTCTGCAATGGAGCGTGAATACAGAAATGGGTCCTGTAACACGACACCAATCTGCGCGCGCAGCCAGAAACGATCCAGTTCCGAAATTTCGCGGCCGTCCAGGGTCAGGCTGCCGCTGCTGTAGGGATACAGTCGCAGCAGAGCGCGGATGAAACTGGTTTTGCCGGAGCCAGGCGGCCCGACAATGGCCAGGGTTTCGCCCTGGGCGATATCCACAGACAGGTTGCGCAACACGGGTTCGTCGTCACCGTAGCCATAAGTCAGATTGCGAGCGCTGATGATGCCTTTCGCACGGCCTGTCGGTGGCGTGAAGTCGGTGGCTTCTTCCGGGGCCTGCAGAATATGGTTCACCCTGCCCAGGGCAATCACCGCTTTACCGGTATCTGTGAGCACGCGTCCGAGTTGGCGTACTGGCCAGATCACAATGGACAGACACGTCATGTAAATGAACAGATCGCCAACTGTCAGCGTCCCCGCCAGCGCAAAATAGCCACCTGCCAACAGAACAATGCCCAATTGGCTCATGGAGAAGAAGTCCGAAATGCTCCAGTAGGCGGACATCAGCTGAATCAGGCGAAAGTTCTTGTTGCGGAAGTCTGCATTGCGGGCGCCAAAGCGTTCAATTTCGTGAGACTGGCGTGCAAATGCGCGCACTACGCGAATGCCGGTTAGGTTTTCCTGCAGGGTTGCGGTCATGGCGCCCTCGGATTCGTCGGTCATTTCGAAAACGTCTTTGACTTTACTGAAGAAGATGTAAGCGCCGACAATGAGGAATGGAATCATGCACAGAGACCAGAATGCCAGTTCCACGTGAATGGAAAACAGGATCGGTACCACGCAGACAATCAGCATGATGGCGCGACCAATTTCGATGACGTCGCTGACCAGAAAAACCCGCAGAGTTTCCACGTCGGAGCTGCAGCGCTGCACCAGATCGCCGGTGTCTGCGGTGTCGTAGAAGCCGGACTGAACATGATGCAAACGGTTGTACAACGCCTCGCGTAGACGGCGTGCGATATTCTCGGAAGCCTCCGCAGCCAGGCGCCCCCTTACGTACAGAAACACGCCACCGAGGGCTGTGATTGCAATGCTCGCGACAGCTGCTGCCCAGATGTAGCTGGTGAACGTCAGGTCACCTGCAATCCAGCGGGCAAGCGTAGCCAGCCAGGCATCCGCGTGAATCAGATCCTGCTGGTTCAGTACATCAATGGCGCCGCCGCCGAGGATCGGTGCGCCGAACATACAGATGTTGGTGAGTACCATAGCCAGGACAGCGGTCAGATAGCGCAGCCGCTCACCGGCAGTTATTTTCCAGAGACCGCTGTATTTCTGGTCTTCGATATCAATATTTTCGAATGTTGTCGTGTTCATCCACTTGTTCCTGTTACGGGACAGTCAAATTAAAAGCGTGCAGATAGGCGTCGCCATACGGTTACGCGCTGCAGCAATAGAGTTGGAATGTAGATGGCGGTATTAAACCGCCGGAGTACTAACGCGTGATGTTGTAGATCACGGTTCTATCCAACGAGGCATCATCAGCAGGGGCATAACGATTACCTGGTGCGCGAACGCGTCCCTGTAGGTTGATAATCATCATAGTTGCCTCCTTGATTGCCCGTTCCCCGCAGGAAAAATTGTGCACGGGGGTGGATGGGAAGGAGATGCTAGAGAATTTGCCAGTGGATGGCAAGTGTTGGCGGCATTTGGGTTTGAAAAACCTTATGGCCGCCAACACTTTGTTCTAGGAAGTTTTAGAAGTTGACGACCATTTTGCCAACATTGGCGCCGGTAAACAGACCAATAAACGCATCCGGTGCGTTATCAATTCCCTCGTAGATGGTTTCTTTATACTTGATCTGACCCGAGGTGACCCACTGTTCCATGTCGCGGCGGAAGTCGCCTGCCAGGTGGTTAAAGTGGCTGACAATAAAACCGCGCAACGTAAGCCCCAGGCCAATAGCCATGGTCAGGTTATTGGGGCCAGGCGCAGGCTCAAAGTCGTTATAGACAGAAATTGCACCACACAATGGAATTCTGCCAAAAGGCCGCATGTGGGTGATGGCAGCTTGCAGGTGATCTCCACCTACATTATCAAAGTAGACATCGAGACCGTCAGGTGCACCTTCACGAAGATGGTTCAGGATATTGCCGTCCTTGTAATTGAAGGCGTAATCGAAACCTAACTCGCCGGTCAACAGGTCTACTTTCTCCTGGTCTCCGGCGCTGCCCAGCACCCGGCACCCTTTCAGTTTGGCAATCTGGCCGACGATGCTGCCTACAGCCCCTGCAGCACCGGATACAAATACCGTTTCACCATCTTTCAGCGCGCCTACTTCAAGCAGCCCCACATAAGCAGTCATGCCCGGCATACCAATGGCGCCGAGGTAAGCTGACGGGTCTGTTACCAGAGCGCCCAGCTTTTCAATACCTTCAACACCGCTGGTATAAGCTTCACGCCAGCCGTGATGGCTGGATACATGGTCACCTTCAGCGAAGTCCGGGTGATTGGACTTAAGCACGCGTCCGATACACCCACCGGTGAGTACTTCGCCGATCTGGAAAGGTGGGACGTAAGACTTACGATCGACCATGCGGCCGCGCATGTACGGGTCAACAGACATACACAGGTTCTGCACCTGGATCTCTCCATCGCCAGGCTCACCGACGTCCGTTTCGATAATGGCGAAATCGCTTTTTTTCGGCATGCCTACCGGGCGTGCAGCGAGAGTGACGGCTTTAGATTTCATAGTTTTCCTTGGGTTGATTGCAGTGATAACGGTTGTTATTCGTTAGAAATAGTAATTTCCTGATCGGTGATGAATTCGAGCAGGGCCGGCTGGCCGTTCCGGGTGGCTTCAATACCGCGTGCCAGGGCGGCGACAATATCATTCGGGTCAGTAATGCGCTCGCCGTAGCCGCCAAAGGCCTTGGCCATATCGGCATAGTGCCCGGAGATCTCAATCGCGCCATATTTTTCCTGGGACACCGGCATGATCGGAATTTCGATGGCCATGGAGAAGTTGTTAAACAGAATCGATAAAATGGGTATTCGTTCCCGCGCGGCGGTTTCGAAATCCATGCCCGTGAAACCAATGGCTGCGTCACCCCAGACGTTGATGCACAATTTTTCAGGGTGGGCGAGTTTGGCGCCCATGGCCAGTCCGAGACCATAACCCAGTTGCGTGGTTTTGCCCCAACCGATATAGGACAGCGGTGTGGTCGATTGCCAGAACGGCGTGGTCTGATCCCGCGGACTGCCAGCATCGTGAGTGATGACGGTGGCCGCTTTATCCACCATGTTGTTCAACTCCCATAACACCCGGTAGGGGTTGATAGGGGCATCGTTGTTGGTCAGCTTGGGCATCCACTCACTCATCCACGCATCGCGTAGGGCGGCGATGCGGGCCGGTTCATCCTCGCGTTGTTCAGCGGACGTTCGGTCGTGTCCAGCCATTGCATTGGTCAGTGCGGCCAGCGTTAGCTTGGCATCGCCGATCAGCCCATATTGCGCGGGTACGTCTTTGTTCAGATCCATGGGGTCTAAAGTGGCGTGGATAATCGTTTTGCCTTTAGGCATCTGCACACCAAAGCCCGTGAGGGCAAAGCTGCAGCCGATGCCAAGGATAACGTCAGCTTCTTTCAGATACTGTGCCACCGGACGCGGGTTTGCCCGTCCACCGCTGCCAAGTGACAGGGGGTGATCCTCGGGGAACGCGCTTTTACCCTCAATGCTGGTGGTGACCGGGATGTTCCAGGTTTCCGCCAGGGTTTTGAGTTCGTCCCAGGCTTTGGCGTAATGCACACCCTGGCCAGCATAGATAACGGGATTGCTGGCTTCAGCTAATACCTTGGCTGCCACTTCAATATCGCTGGGGTCCGGGCCGGTTTTGGCGCTGAACGCGGGGATGTATTCCCAGCTGTCAGGCACGTCTTCGTTGAAAACATCTACCGGCACCTCTAACAGAACAGGTCCGGGGCGACCGTTCCTCAGCTGGAAAAATGCGCGTCGCAGCACTTCCGGAATGGCTTTGCCCATGGTCAATGGTTCAGCCCATTTAGTGATGTGCTGCATGTTCAAGGTAGAGTTGAAGTTCGGATAGTAGTGCGCCAGGCGCCGAGGGTAACCCGCAGGAATCACCAGAATCGGTACAGATTCAGAATAGGCCTGGGCCACACCGCCGAATGCATTTTCAGCGCCCGGACCGTGCTGCATGCAGAACACACCAATTTTATCGCCGGAAGACATGCGCGAATACGCATCAGCCATGTGCAGGCCGATACGTTCCTGGCGCACAATCACGGTGCGGATATCGAGCTTTGCTGCTGCTTCAATTAAGGGGTTAACCGGATAGGCGAACAACACGTCAACACCTTCGGCTTTCATTGCGTGAGCAATGGCATCTACAACTTTCATAGGTTTTCCTAAAACTTGTCTAATATGATTTCATTTCTACCAGCTGACCGCAGGGTCAATGTCCGCATTGCGCCAGGCGTGGATCCGCTGCTGCTTTACATCGTCTGTGGCTTCGCCAAGACCATTCTGAGCTAATTCTGAGCCGTATAGTGACCAGGGGTTTTTCGGGAAGTGCTGCAGATCCTCCGCAAAGGTGATTGCGGCGTCGGCGTAATGTCCGGCTCTGAGTTGAGCTTCGCCCAACGTCTGTCGTACGGGGTAATGCCAGTGTGGTGGTTCGGTGTACGGGAGTGAATCCTGCAAGGCGACGGCTTTTTCCAGCGCAGCCAGTTCCACATAACTATCATTTCCGGCCCGGGCGATTCTGGCAGTCACCAGGCTGCTGGCGATACCCATCAAAGGTTCGTTTACACCGGGCATGCGCATATTCAAGCTTTGCACAGGTTCGCTGGTGGCCATGTTAGATAACGTATCCAGTTCAGCCTGAGCGCGCTGAACGTCACCTTTTGCCGCATAGGCCAGCCCGCGCCCGTAGTGCAGCATGGCCTGGCTGAAGGGTAGTCCTTCCGGCGCATCAGGCAGCGCCAGCACCTCATCCCACATGCCAAAACGAACATATGTATAGACGGGCACAGCAACGTAACTCTGCAAAGCCCCCATCTGTCGGGCCATATCCAGCGGCACTCGTTCTGCCAGTTTCAGTGCGCTGCTGATCGACAGCGTTTTACGACCTTCCATCATGGCGGAATACCACAGGAAGTGGATGTTGTGTGGGTAGTACGCCGCGGGATACAGGCCCTGGGCGTTACATTGCGCAATATAGTCTTCGTCCGCCTCAGCGGCTTCGGCATTTGCATCTACCGCATCACTGTAGCGGCCAACACGCAGATAAATGTGTGACGGCATATGTACCAGATGGCCGGCCACGGGTACCAGTCCACCCAGACGATCGGCTGCTGCAACGGCACGTTGGGGTTCAAACCGCTCCATGACATGAATGTATAGATGCAACGCGCCAGGATGCTGAGGATCCGCCGCCATCACCGTTTCAAGATCTTCAACCAGGATGTTGGTGTTCTGACTGGCGGCACTGCCGTCGTCATTCCAGTAAGCCCAGGGCATCAGATCCATCAACGCCTCGGCGCGTAACGCGCGGGCATTCAGGTCGTCTGGATATTGTTCAACCAGACCGCTCATGGAGCCGGCATAAATGATGTCCAGCGCTTTACGATCGCCGCCATCTTCACTGTAACGTGTAGCGATGGCGTCTATATAAGCCTGCTCTCGTGGTGTTTCGAACGCGCGCAGGGCGATGGCCTGCTGTATGGCCTGCCAGGCGGGTGCTACCGCATCTTCAGACATAGGCGCGTTGATGTTCGGACCCAGTGCAAGTGCTGCTCCTGCCCAACAGATACCACAAGTGGCATCCTGGCGTGCTGCCTCTTTGAACGATCGAACAGCCTCGGCGTGATTGAAACCAAATGACAGCGTCAGAGCCTGATTGAAATAGGCTTGCGCCAGGGGGACGCTGGTACTGATAGGAAACTGCAGCGGGCCAATGCCTTCGAGTAGCGGGGCGGTCACGCCGTCCGTTGCTGCGAGCCCGGTCGAGGTATCCTCTGTGCTGTCCGGTTCCGGCTGTGTTGCGCAGGAAGCAAGCAGCAACGCGATGCATCCTGCGCTGATCAATTTAAGCTCTAAATGTTTCATGTGCGGTCTCTTGTTATAATGTGGCGTTAAAGCGATGTGCTGCGTGTGCCTGGCGCAGGCGGGTCTTCGGGTGGCCCAGCGAAACACTGGGCAATGGCCATCCAGCCGTTTGCGGTGTCTCCGCTGACTTGAAGCTGTGTATCGGCGACGTTCCGCACCTGGGTGACGACCTGGCAGAAATCGACGGCAGTGCCGCGAACACAGTTGTTTTCATCCTGATCATTAAACGTCCAGAGCTTCCCCGAAGGTGCGGTGAGCTCAACGTAGGGTGCAGGTTCAGGTACGGGAAGTTTGCGATTGCTGAACGACCAGCCGAATGTCCGCACACCAATGGTTACAATATTCTGCAAACGATCTGAATGGCGTCGTTTCACTTTCATCAAATCGTAGATTTCCCAGCCATGGGCCCAGGTTTCCATTTGCCGCGCAGTGGCAAACATGCGGGCTTTCATGCCGGGACCTGCCCAGGCAAAACGTTCGTCCGGATCTGCGGCCGCCAGCGCCTCACATAACTGTTGGAACATTGTGCGCCAGCGAATGAGCAGCTCTGGCCCGTTGATCGAATGACCATTTTCGGTCAGCCAGGCGTTTGTGTAAGCGCGCATGGAACCGGATTTGCCCATGTCGCGCATCAGTGTCTTGAAATCATCACTGCTGCGCAGGCTGGTCAGCGCCATGTGGTCTGAAAGGTGCAGATGGGCGACCACATCCCATACGGTCCAGTCTTTAAATGTAGACACCTGGGTCCAGAAACCCGTGTCCATTTCCTCCAGCAGCTGGTAGAGCTCGTCACCCTCTGCACGCAAATCTTCGACCACCGACTTTAGCGATGATCTCGCGTCTGTATCTGTCATAAATCCCCCTTCACCCTGGACGCTAAGTTACCAAGGTTGGCACCTGCATGCGAGGCTCGAAGGTATCAGGCAGACGGCGGTTTGTTGTAGCCCTGAGGGACAAACGGCTTGAGTTGTTCCAGCCAGAGCTGTTCCAGGACCTCCAGATCCTCGCTGGGGTCGTATTGCGGATCGTCAGAGGGCTCTATGGTGTCGAGAATGGCGAAGTCAAACACCTCCGCACCCTGGCTGTTCCAGTCACTCTGCAGGTCAGCGCTGACCTGCTCCGCATTCATGCGCAACTCAAATCGATGTCGGTTCATGCGTGCATCAAGATCACGGCTCACGCCGACAAAACACTTCGAATTTGACGTATTGCGAATGCAGTAGGCGCCCAGCTTTTTAGGCTGCTTTTTATAGTCCTGGACCAGGGTTTTCTGGTGTGCCTTACGCGAATCCATGGATAGACTCCGAAGTAGCGTGTTACGTAATAGCCTGCATGATACGTGTATGATCACGCATTATGCAATTAAATGTTTGCCGGTACGCATTCAACTGCAGCAAGCGCTGCTGTTCCGATGAGCAGCGAGAGACACATTTCCATTGGGCGGCAGAACTGTCAGGATATTTGGTTACGCAAGCTTCTGGATGGCAATTTGAAACAGTTTTTGGCCTTAACGACACTCGTTGTTCATAACTATGACGAGGCAATCGCTTTCTTTGTCGGTGTTCTGGGTTTCGATTTGATAGAGGACACGTATCTGCCAGTGGAGGATAAACGCTGGGTAGTCGTGGCGCCCAAAGGTTCTGTTGAGAGCCGACTTCTCCTTGCTCGTGCAGATCACGGGTCACAGGTAGCGTGTGTTGGGAGCCAGGCTGGCGGCCGGGTTTTTCTGTTCCTGCATACCGATGATTTCTGGCGTGATTACACGTCCTACAAAGCATCCGGTGTGAACTTTGTCGAACCACCAAGGCAGGAGCCCTATGGTACGGTGGCGGTATTCGAGGATGTGTGCGGTAACCTGTGGGACCTGCTGGAACCGAAATAACCGCTACTGTGTATTCAGCGAGGTCGGCGAGTGAAAAAATATTTCTTAGGCGGTGTGCTGGCAATCACAGTTGTTCTGCCGTTCGTGTTGACATACGCCCAAGGCAGTAATCTTGCTGGGGGTGCGCCTCGAAGCGATGACGGTCGGTTTGAAAATCTCGCTGGCGAGATCGGCCACGGTACGTTGTCTGTCAGAGTGCCTTTTATCCTGCGGCGCTTTGGGACTTACTTCCGCAGTGGAGAAGATGCCCCGGAACGCATCGCCAACGACGGAGATTTCCTGCGCGAAAACGCGCGACACAGTGTGCCGACGGTGACATGGGTCGGTCATGCCACTCTGCTTGTGCAAATCGGGCACCTTACTTTTCTGACCGATCCGACATGGTCGAATCGGCCGAGTCCAGTGCCACTGATCGGTCCCAAGCGTTATGTTGAGCCGGGGTTATTGATGGAAGATCTGCCGCCGATCGACTTCGTGATTATTTCTCACAACCATTATGATCATCTGGACCTGCCGACGTTACGTGCATTGGCAAACCGCAGTCCGGAGACTGTATTTTATGTGCCGCTTGGCAATGGTGGGCTGCTACGCGAGCAGCAGATTGAAAATGTGCAGGAACTTGATTGGGGGCAGACGGTGGTCCACGAGGGTGTCACTGTTCATTGCCTGCCCTCTCAGCACTGGAGTAAAAGAAGTCTCGCAGATGATCATAAAGCCTTGTGGTCTTCCTGGGCGGTCACGTCTGTGGACCGGCGTTTTTACTTCGCGGGCGATACAGGCTATTTCTCAGAATTCGAAGCCATTGGAAAACGGCTGGGGCCTTTTGATCTGGTGGCTGTGCCTATTGGCGCTTATGAACCCCGGGCCATGATGCGCGAATCACATATGAACCCTGAAGAGGCCGTGCAAGCTGCCATCGACCTGAATGCCGAGCGTGCTGTGGCGATACATTTTGGTACCTTCGATCTCTCTGACGAGCCGCTGGCAGAGCCGCCCCAACGATTCAGACAAGCCGCAATCAAAACTCAATTCGGGGACGATGCTGCATGGATTCTCGATATCGGTGAAACCCGTGAGTTCTAAGGCATATCTGAGAATAACTTAGGTTGCCTATATGCAGTTTACTAAGCGGTTACGCGAACCGATCAAAAATCATGAAATAACCCAGTCGGTACGTATCTGGAAATCGCCTCGTGTCAAAGTGGGTAATGCGTACCGACTGGCGCCAGGCTTTATTGTGATCGAGTCGTTGCGGGAGATTGGTTTTGAAGACATCACCGCAAAACTGGCACGCGAAACCGGGTTCAGTAGTCTGGCCGATCTGTTGAAGACAGCCAAACACGGCTCTGGTGAACGGGTTTATCTGGTTAAGTTTCACTACCATGAGAAGCTGGACTAATAACTGGTGAGTACAAGTGATGGCGCAAGATGACAGTGCTGCGAAAAACAAACTAAGCGCTCAGGCGTTCTACGATCTGATGTTCAATCAATGTCAACCACGTCAGGCGGTGGAGCGCTACGTCGGAGCCCAATATATTCAGCACAATCCGGAAGTCGCGGATGGTAAAGTGGCCTTCATTGAATACTTTGAGCGTATGGCCCGCGAGTTTCCCGGTAAGCGCGTCACGTTCAAGCGTGTGGTGGCGGAAGAGGAGTTTGTTGTCCTGCATTGTCATCAGGAGTGGCCAGGTAATCTGGACTATGCAGGTATCGATATTTTCCGTTTTGATGACAACGGCAAAATTGTCGAGCACTGGGATGTTCTGCAGGTGATCCCGGCAGCGGCACAAAACGCTAACACAATGTTTTAGCTGATCCTTTGCTGTTGCTCTGATGAATATTATTTTCCATAAAGATGAAATTCGAATAGATGACGATCTGGTCTCTAAGCTCGTCTTTGCGGAGTTTGCGCAGTACGCCGGATTGCCGCTCACACGCCTGCATGCTTCGGGTTCGTCTAACGTATTGTATCGCCTCGGAAAAGATCTGTTGGTGCGTGTGCCGCGCCAACCCGGCAGTGGTGGTGCGATCGAGAAAGAAAAACGGTGGCTGCCTGAACTGAGGCGGCATCTGTCGGTTGCGGTGCCTGAGATTGTTGCCTTGGGTCGGCCTGCATATGGCTATTCCGAGTCGTGGTCGATTGTTGGGTGGCTTGACGGTGAGTTGCCGCCGGCCTGTGGGCTAAAAAAAGTTGCAACCGCGCAAAGTCGTGGGCTGGCTGCAGATCTGGCTGATGTCATTCTTGCCCTCCGCGGTATTGAAGTTCCCGAGGCGGCCGCTACTGACCCCGGCTTACGCTGGTATAGAGGGCGGTCGCTGGCCGAGTACGATCGTCATATGCGGCGCACAATTCAGGATTGCCGATCCATTGAGGGTTTGGATCTTGATCTCGACGCCGTGTTGGATGTCTGGCAGCGTTCAATATTGTTGCCAGGCGCAGATGATGTGGGACCTGACCGCTGGTATCACAGCGACCTGGTTGCAGAGAATCTATTGCTGAAAGACGACAGACTCTCAGCGGTGCTGGATTTTGGCGGGCTGGCTGTGGGTGACCCAACCATCGATCTACACGGTGCATGGGAGCTGTTTGATCACCAGAGTCGCGAGGTGTTTCGAACCCGGCTAGGTGTAGAGGATGCTCCGTGGTTGCGCGGTCGTGCCTGGGCCCTGGCTATTGCGCTAGGCACATTCAGCTACTACTGGACAAAAATGCCGGGACGCATGCACGACAGGCTGATAATGGCACGAGCTGTGTTGGCAGATGTTGAGGATCGGGGCGAATGACAAGGCGCTACAATCAGCCCAAAAAAAGGGGTGCCGAAACACCCCTTCCTATTAGCTGCCAAAGCAGCTGAGCCACTGGAACCGTTAGAACTGGTTCATGGTGTTGGCGGTACCGCCAGCCAGCAGTGCTTTTTCACCGAGGAAGTACTCTTTGTGGTCATCGCCCACGTTAGAGCCGGCCAGATCCTGGTGCTTAACCGCGGCCAGATCACGACGGATTTCCTGACGCTGTACGTCACGTACGTAAGCCAGCATCCCCAGGTCGCCGAAGTAACCAGATGACAGAATGTCGGTAGACAATGCAGCCGTGTGGTAGGTCGGCAGGGTGATCAGGTGGTGGAAGATACCCGCTTCGCGCGCCGCATCTGCCTGGAAGGTCTGCACCAGCTTGTCTGCTTCGATAGCCAGTTCAGAATCGTCCAGGGCAACGTCCATCAGCGCTTTTTCGTCATTTGTGGGATCAGGATAAGCTGACAGATCTTTGCCTGCTGCTTTCCACTCCTGGTACACCTGGTCGCGGAACTTCAAGGTCCAGTTGAAAGACGGAGAGTTGTTGTACACCAGTTTTGCTTCGGGGCGAACTTTACGGATCTCGTTAACCATTTCTGCAATCTGCGCAACGTTTGGCTTCTCTGTTTCAATCCACAGCAGGTCAGCGCCATGTTCCAGGCTGGTGATACAGTCGAGCACAACGCGGTCGATACCGGTGTCTTCTTTGAACGCGTACAGACCGTTATCCAGACGCTTTGGCTTAGCCAGTTGGCCGCCCTGGTGGATAGTGACGTCACCGTCCTGCAATTCAGAAACATCGTTTACAGGGGTGGTGTCGAGGAACTCATTGTACTTGCTGCCCAGATCGCCAGGCTGCAGAGACACAGGAATTTTCTGGGTTAAGCCAGCACCTAATGAATCTGTGCGCGCCACAATGATGCCGTTTTCGATACCCAGCTCCAGGAACGCATAACGTACAGCGTTGATTTTAGAAACAAAGTCTTCGTGAGGTACGGTGACTTTACCCGCTTGGTGGCCACACTGCTTGGCGTCAGAGACCTGGTTTTCAATCTGAATAGCACAGGCGCCTGCTTCGATCATGCGCTTAGCCAGCAGGTAGGTGGCTTCTTCGTTACCGAAACCGGCATCGATGTCCGCGATGATTGGCACAACGTGAGTTTCGTAGTTATCAATGCGAGCAATAATGCTGTCTACGTCGCCACCGTTTTCGCGGGCCTCGTCCAGTTCCACAAACATGTGTCGCAGTTCGCGTGCATCTGCCTGTTTCAGGAAGGTATAAATCTCTTCAATCAGGTCAGAAACGGTGGTTTTCTCATGCATGCTCTGATCCGGCAGAGGGCCAAACTGAGAACGCAATGCTGCAACCATCCACCCGGATAGATAGATGTAGCTGCGGTCGGTGGTTTTCTGATGTTTTTTCACACCCATCATCACCTGCTGGGCGATGAATCCATGCCAGCAGCCCAGGCTCTGGGTGTACTTGCTGGAATCAGCGTCGTAGTTGGCCATGTCGCGACGCATGATGTCAGCGGTGTATTGCGCGATTTCCAGGCCGGTGGTGAAACGGTTCTGCAGCTTCATGCGCGCAGCGTATTCAGGGTTGATGGCATGCCACTCATCTTTAGCTTTGATTTGAGTGCGCAGGCGTTCGATTTCATCAAGATAAGCAGACATATTTTCTATCCTAAGTATCTGGTTGTTGCCAAAAGGGCGGGCAAGATACCAATCTGGTCGCTTAGGTTAAATGGAATAATTTAAAAGGAATATATTCCAATCAGGAAAGCAACGAGTCTGGCTGCGGGCAATTGCGTTTAGCGGCTGCTCTGCAGGCTTGCCAGGTCAAATGTCTGCCAGAACGAGGTCAGCCGCGTTGGGTCACCTGCCATAGAGATCAGATTCTGTGCTTCAGCATCCCACAGGTTCAGTTTATTGCTGAGGATTTTTGCCCAGGTTTCGTGGCTCAGGTGGATGTGCAGATCTGCCCCGCGGCCATCGGTTGGCATCGCCACCTCCCGCCGTAGCGCAAGCCCCGCCTGTTCGCCGCTGGCAAAGTGCCAGGCCATTTCCATCGTGTCCTCGGGCGCTTTTTCCGGGTTCACCAGCACCCGCAACACGCTGATATAGCGGGTGGGTGTCGCGGACATGACGTCATCAAAACGAAAACGGTGGGTGTTGAAACGACTCATATCGATCTGGCCTTCCAGATGCAGCGCGCGGGTCAGACACCAGTTACGTACATTGGCGGAAGGGGTGCGCTGGGCCATTTGCCGCATGACCCGTGCCAGCAGTTGCTGGTCCGGGAGAGTCACCTCGCTGCTGCGCACCAGCCAGGTTGCCAGTTCAGCCGCCCAGCGCAAATCGCCATCGTTAAGTGCCTCCTGAGCTTGGGCGCGCACGGTTGCGCGCCCACCAAAACCTTCTATAAGACGTTCACAACGCGCCTGCTCCGGCATTGGAAAGATTTGGCTTTCATCTTCGTCCAGCCAACCGAACAAACCCGAATGAATTTGCCGTACGTGGTGTTCAACCAGACCGTAAAGCTGCTGTGTGAAGTAAGATTTTTTGAACCGCCCGGGCAGCTGTACCTGTTCGGTCAGGGCGCTCAGACGCAGCCCCTGGTTGATGCCGCGTACAGTCTGGTCCCATATGAAGGCTATGGCATCACGATAATCTGCTACCGCCGCAGGGACAGGTGTACCGGATAGCGGTGGCCCGTGGGTGCAGATCAGATGATCCGGTTGCAGCTGGGCGATTTTATCGATGCCGGTGAGCAGTTCGCGCGGGTCTCGGTATTCTTCGCCGCGGATGGCATAAATATTGAACAGTGCCGGCCAGATCAGATTATTTACACAGATGCCGAGCTCAGGAAACCACAATGTCATGGAGTCATTGGCGTCAGAGGGTGCTGGGCTGAATTCAACCTGCAGGCCTGCAATAGTATGTGTCGTCTCGTCTGTGATGTTGTGCTGGGCGGCGATATAGCCGGGAGTGAACGGCGCATGTTTTGGATTACGCAGTTCCAGTCCTAATCCGCAGTGCAGCAGCCCGTCAGCACCGTTTTCGGGTAATAACACGCCAAACTGGTGTGCCAGGCCACGGCTGGATCTGGGGCTGACTTCGCCGCCGAAACGGTCGCGATTTTTTTCGATCAGATGGTGTCCGTACACTTCCAGGTAGGCGGGGCCGACGTCTTCAAGCAAGGCTTGAGTGCCATTCACGTAGTGAAAGTGGGTGTAAATGCAGGCCACGATAGGTGCCTGGGTATGTTTGCGTAAGAGTTTCACCGCGTCGCGCATCTCTTCGACGCACTCGCCGCTGTCGATGGCAATGATGCCGCTCTCGCCGGCAATAAAAGTCTGGTTCGATAAGCCATTGCCGACCACACACCAGGCGCGGTCGCCGACAGGATAGATGGCGGGTAATAAACGCTGGGTATGTGCTACGGCGTCCGGGTGAGCAAGCTGACCGGCCGGCCCCTCAGCAGGCTCCTCGTCGGGCAGTGAATCTGGAATAAATTGAGTCATTGATATCCGTTCTCTGGCGCCAGGTACTGCACCGTATGCGGGGCTGTAAGGTGGGCTTGCGTAGGCAATGCCGCTGTCTCCGTGTAGCATCTTAAAACTTTTCAAAGAAGGCGCACCAGCAATGAATCCGTTTGGCCATGAAAACCGTTATGGATAGATCGGAGAGCACCTGTTGCTTGAGCTTGTAGGCGCGCACCTCCAGGCGGATGGCCAGACAGATTTTGATCATCAGTTTGCCGCTGGTCAGATTACGGTTGTGCTGGGGGCAAACCAGTCCGGTAAAACCAACTTGTGTCGCCTTGTTGCCGGGCAGAACTCACACGCACGCGGCCAGGTCCTGCTTGATGGCGTCGACCTGCAGATGGTAGATCCTCGCAAGCGACCGGTCAGCATGGTTTACCAGGCTTTTGTGAACTATCCCAATCTGACCGTCGCACAGAACATTGCGTCGCCGCTGCTGGCGCGACGTGGTGAAAACGCTATGGATAAAAATGCCATCGCCGCACGGGTTAACGAGCTTGCGCAGACGCTGCAGATACAGCCACTGCTTTCGCGTTTTCCTCACGAACTGTCGGGTGGACAACAGCAGCGTCTGGCGATAGCGCGTGCGCTGGCCAAGCAGGCGCCGGTACTGTTGCTCGACGAGCCGCTGGTGAATCTGGATTTCAAGCTGCGTGAAGCGCTGGAGGTAGAGTTGCGGGAACTGCTGCACCAGACCAATACCGTTGTCATCTATACCAGCAGTGACCCTCGTGATGCCTTCACCCTGGGTGATGAGGTGCTGTTGCTCGCAGCGGGTGCAAAACTACAGGCAGGTGCACCGCTGGATGTGTATCTGCGGCCCCAGAGCCTCGCTGCGATGCAGCTCATGGCTGACCCAGGGGTCAATGTATTTCAGCGCGATGCTAAAACCTGCGCCTTGCGACCGGAGCATCTGCGCAGCGTGACGGATGGCGGCATAGACGTGACCTTTGATATGCAGGTGTCCGCCTTCGAAACCAATGGCAGCGAATCGTTTGTGCATGGTGAAGTAGAAGGTGCGCAGTGGGTCATGCGGTGTGATGGCATGTTACGAATAACGCCTGGCCAGCATCTTAAGGTAGGTGCCTCTGCCAGTGACGTGGTGCAGTTCTAATGGCGGCGGTGGACTTACAGCAAATTGGTTTTACCTATCCCGGGGCTGCAGAGGCGACTCTGAGCAATCTGAATCTCAGCGTCGCTGATGGCGAAGCGCATGCTCTGCTTGGTGCAAGCGGTGCAGGTAAGACGACGTTGTTGAATTTGTTATCCGGTATTCTGCATCCCACCGACGGGCGTTTACTGTTTAACGGCGATGATGTGTCCAGGCTCAGCGGTCGCGCGCGTAATGTTGCCCAGGTATTCCAGTTTCCGGTGTTGTATGAATCCCTCAACGTTGCTGAAAATCTTGCTTTCCCGCTGCGTAACAGTGGTGTTGCACGGAAAGTCATAGATGAGCGGGTAGCCTATATCTGCGACGAGCTTGAGCTTGGTGCGCTGATTGCGCAGAAACCCCGCTCACTGTCGCTTTTTCAAAAACAACTGGTCGCGGTAGGCAAAGCCCTGGTGCGCCCGGATATTTCTCTGGTCCTGCTGGATGAACCCCTGACCGCGGTAGAGCCACGGATAAAGTGGCAGCTACGACAGACCCTGCGGCGTGTACAGGCAGATCTGCAGGTGACGATGATCTATGTCACCCACGATCAGACCGAAGCGCTGACCTTTGCGGATCGTGTCTCTATCTTAACGGCAGGCGGGATTCTGCAGACGGATACGCCGGAAGTTGTTTATCAATCGCCACTACATGAATTTGTTGGTCACTTTGTTGGCAGCCCGGGAATGAATTTTGTCCCGGCGCAGGCGTTGGGCGTCAGTACCGCCCAGCGAATCGGCTTTCGGCCGGAATGGGCCCAGCTATCGACATCAGGTCAAATAACCGGGACGTTGCAGCGTGTGCGGATTGAAGGTGCTCAGCAAGGTCTGGCGGCTGGTTTGATGGTGCTCGATACCGCCTATGGCGAAGTCATCGTGCGCGGGCGGTTGCCGGAAGTTGCCCAACGCCAGATCGGCGCGCAGCTGCAGGTGCAGGTGACGCGCGGGGTTGCGTTCAGTAACGAGCAGCAGGTGGGTACACATGAGTTCGTTTAGGCCGCAGAACAACCGCGCGTGGTTGGGTGTGTTACCCGTTGTGCTGATTGTTGCGTTCAGCGCGGTAGTGCCGCTGATGACCGTCGTTAATTACTCGGTGCAGGATATTCTGGATTTCAATACCCGGTTTTTTGTTGGCCTGCAGTGGTACGAGCAGACCCTCAACGATCCGCGCTTTATTGAGGCTTTTCTGCGGCAGGTGGCGTTCAGCCTGACGATACTGGCTATTCAGATACCGCTGGGCATCTGGGTGGCCAAAGGTATACCCAAAGACAGTCGCATGACACCTTTGATTCTGGTTGTCTTAGCCATGCCGCTGCTGATTCCGTGGAACGTTGTGGGCACTATCTGGCAGATCTTTGCGCGACCCGACATCGGTTTGTTGGGCGTGACGATCAACGCGCTGGGCATAACGTATAACTACACAGCGGATCCACTGCATGCCTGGGTAACGCTGGTCGCGATGGATGTCTGGCACTGGACCTCACTGGTGGCGCTGCTGGCGTTTGCCGGTCTCACGTCGATACCGCAGCCTTTTTATCAGGCCGCCGAGCTGGATGGCGCCAACCGCTGGCAGATATTCCGTTATGTTGAATTGCCGCGACTGCGCGGCGTGTTGATCATTGCCGTACTGCTGCGGTTGATGGACAGCTTCATGATCTACACCGAACCGTTTGTCTTGACCGGGGGCGGGCCGGGCAATGCCACGACGCTGCTCAGCCAGCATCTGGCCACCATGGCTGTTGGCCAGTTTGATCTTGGCCCTGCAGCGGCCTTTTCGGTGATTTACTTTCTCTTCATCCTGCTTTTCTGCTGGTTATTTTACAGCTCGGTGGTGGCCAAGAATGAAGACTAATACGAGCCGTTGGATATTGTGCGGTTATCTTGTGTATCTGCTGCTGCCCCTGTACTGGCTGATGTCTATGGCTTTGCGCAGTAATGTCGAGATTGCCGGTGAGTTTTCTGTGCTGCCTGCATCACCCACCTGGCAGAACTTTGCGGAAATATTTTCCAACCCGGTCTGGTATGAGGCGTTTGCAAACTCGTTAACATATGTAGGCCTGAATACGCTGCTGTCGCTGAGTGTCGCCATTCCCGCTGCCTATGTGTTTTCGCGTTATCGTTTTCTCGGCGACAAGCAGCTTTTTTTCTGGCTGTTAACCAATCGTATGGCACCCCCAGCGGTTTTTCTGCTGCCGTTTTTCCAGCTTTATTCCGCGATTGGTTTGTTTGATACACCGCTGGCTATTGCGCTTGCCCATTGTCTGTTCACCGTGCCGCTGGCAGTCTGGATCCTGGAAGGTTTCTTTTCCGGCGTGCCCACGGAGCTGGACGAAATGGCGCGGCTGGATGGTCACAGCTTCCTGTACTTTTTCTTCCGCGTCTTTTTGCCGATTAATCGAGGCGCGCTTGGGGTAACGCTGTTTTTCTGTTTCATGTTCAGCTGGGTTGAACTGTTGCTTGCGCGTACCTTGTCCGGTGCCTCCACCAAACCTATTGCCGTGGTGATGACCCGCACGGTGAGTGCATCGGGCATGGATTGGGGTGTGCTGGCGGCTGCAGGCGTGCTGACGGTGGTGCCTGGCATCCTGGTGGTCTGGTTTGTGCGTAAAGACCTGGTGAAAGGTTTTGCGCTCGGGCGGGTGTCATGAGGGATGTGTCATGAGCTGGATGGCCTGGACGCTACCCACAGCCCTGTTTTTTTCGGCCATTGGTCTTGCACTGCTGGTCCTGACGGTTTACGAACTGCGTTCGCCGACGCGCCTGGCGAAAGGTTTTCTGCCGATGGCGACAACCCGCGGCGATCGGTTTTTCATCAGCCTGTTGAGTGCGGCATTCATACATCTGCTCTGGTTGGGCATGATTGGCGGTGCTCTCTGGGTCGCATCACTGCTGGCCCTGTTGTGGGCTGTGCTACTTATGCGCTGGGGCTAACCTCTTTATACTCGGTGCTTTCAAGATCCTGATGGAACAGACACCGTGAAACGATGGCACCTACTGGCAGCAGCTTTTTTTATCCCTTCACTCTTCGTAACGGTGGGGTGTTCTGAACAACCCGCTGAGGAGACTTCTGTTGAATCTCAGGTGGATTACGCGGCAAATGCAGCGCGCTGGGCTGCCGAGGAATTCCAACCCACTACGCTAAGCACCGATGAACAGCTGGCAGAACTCGCCTGGTTCACCGAAGCGGCACAGGCGCTGCGCGGCATGGAGATCAACGTTGTCTCCGAAACGTTAACCACCCACGAATATGAAAGCACCACGCTGACCCAGGCGTTTTACGACATCACCGGCATTCGGGTGACACACGATCTGATCCAGGAAGGGGATGTGATCGAAAAACTGCAGACGCAGATGCAGTCCGGTGAAAATGTCTACGACGCCTACGTGAATGATTCAGACCTGATTGGTACACATGCACGCTATGGCTACGTGGTGCCCCTCAGTGATTTCATGGCCGGGGAGGGTGCCGACGTCACTTCGCCAACCCTGGATCTTGATGATTTTATCGGCATCAGTTTCACTACCGGGCCGGACGGCAAAATCTACCAGCTGCCGGACCAGCAATTCGCCAACCTCTACTGGTTCCGCTATGACTGGTTCACCAATCCTGAGCTGATGGCGCAATTTGAAACACGTTATGGTTATCCGCTGGGTGTGCCGGTGAACTGGAGTGCCTATCAGGACATCGCCGAGTTCTTCTCTGAACATGTGCGCGAGATTGATGGCCAGCAGGTCTATGGACACATGGACTACGGTAAAAAAGACCCTTCTCTGGGGTGGCGTTTTACCGATGCCTGGCTGTCTATGGCGGGCGCTGGCGATCCCGGTATTCCAAATGGTCTGCCAGTAGATGAATGGGGCATTCGCGTCGAAGACTGCCGCCCCGTGGGTTCTTCTGTCAGTCGTGGTGGTGCGGCGAACAGTCCCGCAGCAGTTTATGCGCTGCAGAAATACATCGACTGGTTGAAACGCTTTGCGCCTCCGGAAGCCGGCGGCATGACGTTCTCTGAAGCGGGTCCTGTGCCCGCCCAGGGACAGATCGCCCAGCAGATCTTCTGGTACACAACTTTTACCGCGGACATGATTAAACCCGACCTTGCGGTGGTCAATGCGGACGGCACGCCGAAGTGGCGTATGGCACCTTCACCCCATGGACCTTACTGGTCAGAAGGCATGAAGCTGGGCTATCAGGATACCGGCGCGTGGACGTTGATGAAGAGTACCCCTCTGGAACGCCGCAAAGCCGCCTGGTTATACGCGCAGTTTGTTACATCAAAGTCTGTGTCTTTGAAGAAAACCCTGGTGGGCTTAACGCCTATTCGTAATTCAGATCTGAACAGCCAGGCTATGACGGATATGGCGCCGCAACTGGGTGGCCTGGTTGAATTTTATCGCAGCCCGGCAAGAACTCTGTGGACACCAACCGGCACCAACGTGCCCGATTACCCCAAGCTTGCACAGCTTTGGTGGGCGAACGTAGCCAATGCAGTCAGCGGTGAGGTCACGGCTCAAACTGCAATGGATAGCCTGGCGGAACAGCAGGATGCGGTGCTGGCTCGGCTGGAACGGCATGGTGTCCTGGGTGAATGTGGCCCGCAGTTAAATGAGCCTCAGGACCCTGAATTCTGGCTGCAGCAACCTGGCGCGCCAAAGCCAGCGCTGGCAGACGAAAAACCCCAGGGTGAAACTGTGCCTTACGACGAATTAATTAAGGTGTGGCAGGCAGGCTGAAATGAATCTGCCCCAATTCTTCGTAACGCGCGCAATAGCTGCCCGGCTGACCGGGTAAAATGCCGCCGATGGAGCCGGTCAACAGCAGATGACCGGCTTCAATGGTATATCCCAGTTCAAGGGTCTGGTTGATGAGCCAGCACAAAGCCTCGACCTGACCACCCATTACTTCCCCTGCGGTACCAGACATCATAACCTCACCGTCTTTTTCCAGACTGACTGCTAACGCGTCAAGGGTGTGGCTGTCCGGTATATCCTGGCGCTGCCCTTCGATATAACCAAACGAAGCAGAGTTGGTGGCAATCAGATCCAGACCGTTGGGTGGATTGGCAAGATTAGGCGAAGCCAGTTCAACAACACCCTGGCAACTGTCCATATAGCCCATAACCGTATCAGCGGTGACAGGGGCGCTGATGTTCGAAGCGGTGACAAAGGCAATTTCTGTTTCCAGTAGAATCTGTTGCTGCGCCTCAACAGGCTTGTTGGCGGGGAAAGCGCCGCTTGCCAGCAGTACACCAACCACTGGATGATCGATGCCCATGGCCGCTTGGCCTGCGGAGGCTGTCAGTGCAGCCTTGTAACCGGTAATCGGTTCACCGCGTAACGCGACATATTGACGCTGAATATCGTAAGCATCAGCAATGCTCAGGTCATCGAACGCTGCTGAAACGCTGTCGTAGCGGTGTCGCTTACTGTATGCCTGCAGGAATTTTTTTGGCCAGCGCTGCATGTTCTATCTCCTTGAAAATACTCGGCTCAAGCGTCAGCCAGTGGTCCGTCAGGACCAAATGCCAGCTGTGCAAAACGTTTTCCCATGCGGATGTAACCCTCTGCGTTTGGATGTAAGTCGTCCGGTAGATCACCGGCATCCTCAGGCCCGAACAGTTGTAAACCATCCAGATAGTGCAGGTTTGTATCACCAGCAGCCCGACGCTGGGCGACCACTTTAGAGAGGATTTTCCTGACCCAGGTTAACGTCAGCGCGCCGGCGCTGATTTCTGCTGGCCGCGGGAAGGTAATAAATTTGCCCTCTGCGTCGGGCAAGGTCGGTCCAGGCTCGGTTTCGGCGCTGGGACAGTATATGGGTGAAATAATGAGGATCCGGGTGTCCGGTTTGCCCTCCCGGATGGTGTCCAGAAAGCCATGCACCGCTGGCGTAAACGTACGTTCACGCATGGAGTCCATGTTAATGATGTTGATGCCGAGTTTTAAGCTGATTAGATCCGCAGGCTCATCGCGTATGGTGCGCGCAACAAACTGATCGAGCTGACAGTTGCCACCCAGACCCAGGTTCAGGAGGTTTAGATTGCTTTGTGCTGCGGCAATCGCAGGCCAGCTCAGATAGGGGCTGGCAGCCTCTGCACAGTGGCTGATAGAGCTGCCATGGTGTACCCATCGTCGTTTTTTTTCTTCGCCGCTGGATGTTTCGACGGTGGCCATCTCGTTGAATCGCAGTTTTCGTAAAGCGACCTGAGCACTGGTAGGCAACCAGATCTCACACCGCTTCATGCCCGCCGGCAAATGTTCGAATACCACTGTGCCCGGCTCGCCGGCCACAAACGTGGGTTGTGTGGGTTTGCGCAAATCAACCTGCAGCACATGTCCACTGTCTTCGGCATGCGATTGCTGCAGATTGCCGTCGCAAACCAGATCAAATACAGCTGTGCGCGGCGTACGGCTGGCCATCTGGATGCGGGTCAGACAGACATCCAGTTCGATGTGGGTTGCATCAGTTGCAAATGCCAGACGCACCCCGGAAGGCTGGGTCACCATTATCTCCATAAAAGCCGGCACCTGGGGACGGGTCCAGTCAGGCAGGCGTCGAGGTGTGATGCCATCCGTGCTGACATCGGTATCCAGCGCACCAATCATGGTGATGCTTGCATGATCTGGATTTAGTTCTAACATGGCAGTCTCCCTCTCTTAAGCTTAGTATCACGGCCGAAAAAAATGGATACAACCCACCGCTGTGAATGAGTGCCTGTTATGACTGATGTGGCCAACGCCCGTGCCAAACGCCTGCTGGAAATTCTCGATCTGGAGAAGATTGAACAGAACCTGTATCTGGGCAGTAATGAAACATCGACGCCACTGCGGCTGTTTGGTGGCCAGGTACTGTCCCAGGCTGCTATGGCGGCTTACCGCACCGTAGAAGGCGTACATTTACATTCTCTGCATGGGTACTTTATTCGCGCGGGTACAACCACCCGACCGGTCCTGTATGAGGTTGAGCGTATTCGTGATGGGCGCAGTTTCACCACCCGGCGTGTGGTTGCCATTCAGAATGGGGAAGCCATTTTCAATCTCGACGCTTCGTTTCAGGTAGCTGAACCTGGTTTTGATCACGCGCATCCCATGCCGAATGTGCCGCTGCCGGAAGAGCTGGAAGACGATGTGGAAGTGGCACATGCGCTGATGGAAAACTCGCCGCATCTCAGTCCCATGGCAAAAATTGAGCGACCTTTTGAAATGCGTTCGGTGTTCCGTCTGGGTTCAGAAGCCTGGCTGCAGGACCGTTTTCACAGCCCGTCCTGGATACGATTTCGAGAAAGTGTTGATGGTGCAGATCAGGTACTGGCCCGTTGTCTGTTGGCTTACGCATCCGACATGAGTCTGGTTTCTACGGGTGCCCTTCCGCATCAGAGCGAAGTGCCACGCGAAGACCTGCAGATGGCCTCGCTGGACCATGCGCTGTGGATTCATCGCGACGTACCTCTGGATCAATGGTTGTTGTTCCATAAACGCACGTCTACTGCGCAAGGTTCCCGCGGCATGGTGCATGCAGATTTTCATGCCGAGAACGGTCAGCTGATTGCGTCAGTGACTCAGGAAGGTCTGCTGCGGGTCAAGGCGCCGCTGTCACCTGAGGGACCTCAGTCTCCTGAGAAGTAAGCTTTTGCCGTAACCTCGAAGTAGATATCGCTGGTATTGTTGGCCTGCATCAGTCTCGCCGCCTGCGCATCTGACAAAGGCATATGGCTGGCATCCACACGGGTCTGATTCCAGGTGGGGTCCACCGAGCGCCATTGCCCGTCTACATACACTTCGTTCCAGGCATGAAACATAAACGCCGGGTTGGCCCCATCTTTATAGGCCAGGCCGTAGATGTTGCGTGCCGGATATCCCGCCGCTCGAGCCAGGGTGCTGAACAGGTCGGCGTAATCGGTGCACTCTCCACGCTGTTTCTCCAGTGCGGTCAGGACGGCGCCGGCAGGTTCATCTTCGCTGTAAGCCAAACGCTCGTACGCCGTGGTCACCAGGGTATCCACGGGGTGGCGCCCGCTGTTTTTTGCCTGGCTCAAACTCTGTGCCACCAGCGCCTGTATATCTGGATGGCTGACCGGGAACTGCAGCGTTTCACCTTGATGTGCCTGACCATCACCTTTGGTTGTAACCGGGTTGGCGGTGAGACTGTATTTTTGCGGCAGGTTGTAGTCACCGGCACCGTGCAGGTTTAAGGCCAGGCTTTTCAGGTTGGTGTGGTCGGGCAGTCGCTGGTCCAGCGCGAGCAGGTAGCTGGTTTTACTGCGCAGCTCGCTCAGCGCAATGGCGTCTGCTTCGCTGGTTGCCTGTACGTCGAATAAGCCAGCCATGGAGAGATGCTGGGGCTGGAAGTAGGTGTTCAGTTGCGTGCGGGTAGCGGCAAACGGGGCACTGGTCTCCACCAGATAACCTTCGTCGTTCTGTTCAACCACACGATAATTGCGGCGTGTAATACGCAGGCGCTCAAAATCCAGGCTTTCGGTCAGGTGTTGGGCGCCGGCTTGCGGTGCTTCGCTGGACAGCCATTGTTCGAAAGCCACAAACGTATCCAGATCAAACTGCCAGGGTAGCGCCACACTATTGGCCTGTTGATTACGTTGAATAGAGGCTTCGTAACCCTCTGGAGTTGCCCGAATCGTGGTTGCGTTGTGCTGTCCACTGCTGCGGTTGGTATAGCTGGCGCGGGTTAAAGCAAACGGAGGTTTTGCTGCAAAAGTCAGCCATTTGCTGATGGTGTTGGGGCTGTTGTTTTCAAGAGAGAAGTGAGTGGTCGACAAAAAATGCCAGCGGCCTTTGAGATCGCGATAGGCATTATTGTACATATAGCCTACGTGGTTGTTGTTCAGCGCAATGCGGTACCAGTTCTCACCGGCCATTTTTTGCGCGATGTGGCTCGCCAGAGGCTGGCGCAGCTCCAGGATGACGCTGGTTGCCAGAAACAACAGACAACCGATAAAGATAACCGCAACTCTATGCAACGACGACGGCCCAGGCTCAAAACAGCCAGTCTACCACCGAGCTTGTGCGCCTGGTTGCTTTGCTTTACTCGTCGTTTTCTGCAAACGAGGAGATGCTGCGCATCAGTTCGTCCATGCTGTCATAAGGCTGGCTGCGATCGATGCGCCAGTGGTATTTGCTGGCAGGTTCGCCAATGGATGCGGCAAAAATACCGTGGCCGGAGACAAAAATGCCATAGTTGCCGTAGCTGACCCGTTGGCTGGGGGCGATACAGATATCAAAATCGGGTAAACCTTCCCGATGCGGAATCAGCTCCAGAGGTTTAACCGAATCCTGGTTAGCGCTGACATAAAGGACGCGCCCCATGCGATCGACCCAGCCTGCAGCAGCGATGGCGGCAAACAGATCAGATTTGCGCTGTTGTTCGGCATCGATTTCAGGCATCACTTCATCAACGCCTTCGACATGGGCAACTAACCGGCCTTCAGACAGGTCGTTTAGCGCGTCTGTAACGGTGCCCAGCTTGCTCAGTTCAGTACTGTCGTGTTCGGCCACTTTTTTCAGGTCAACGGCATCCACAAGCTCGTGAGCCCGTTTTGCCCGGTCTATCCAATCACCCAGGCTATCGACCTGTGGGTCGGGTGTTGACGCTGGCGCTTCGTCTGAACTCTGATTTTCCGGCTTGTTTGGATCTTCCATAGCATCATCGGGGTTTTCCATTGGTAAAGTGTAGTGCAAGATGCGGATCCCGCAGACTTAGTGCTATTTTTTATCCAATGGACCACGAAGCTAAAGATTTTATCCGCCAGCGCATTGAACATGACCTTGCGCAAGGTGTGCTCCCTGCAGGTGTTGTCACCCGCTTTCCGCCGGAGCCCAATGGGTATCTGCACATAGGTCATGCGAAAAGCATCTGTTTGAATTTTGGTGTTGCCCAGGAATATGGTGGCTCAACCTTCCTGCGATTCGATGACACCAATCCAAGCAAAGAAAGTGATGAGTTTGTGCAGTCCATCCAGGCAGATGTCGCGTGGCTGGGGTTTACCTGGTCGACGCTTACCCACGCTTCGGATTATTTCGAAGAGCTGTATAAGTTTGCCACGGACCTGATTAACGATGGCAAGGCTTATGTCGACAGTTCATCAGCCCAGGAAATTCGCGAACAGCGCGGCACGCTGACGGAACCCGGACAGAACAGCCCGTTCCGGGATCGGTCTGTGGCAGAAAACCTGGACCTGTTTGAGCGCATGCGGGCGGGTGAGTTTGCCGATGGTGAACATGTGCTGCGTGCAAAAATCGATATGTCTTCGCCGAATATAAACATGCGTGATCCGGTGCTCTACCGCATCCGTCATGTCCATCATCAGCGTACCGGCGATAAGTGGTGTATTTACCCGATGTACGACTTCACTCACTGTATCAGTGACGCCCTGGAAGGCATTACGCACTCCCTGTGTACCCTTGAATTTGCAGACCACCGACCGTTGTATGACTGGGTTCTGGACAACAGTAACGTCAACTTTCACCCGCCGCAGATTGAATTTTCCCGGCTGGGGCTGGAATACACGGTGATGAGTAAGCGCCTGTTACATCGCCTGGTTGAAGAAAAACTTGTTGATGGCTGGGACGACCCGCGCATGCCTACCATTGCCGGGCTGCGCAGGCGTGGCGTAACACCGGCTGCGATCCGTGATTTCTGCGCTCGGGTGGGAGTTACCAAGGTGGATAACAGGGTTGAGATGAATCTGCTGGAATTCTGTATCCGTAAAGATCTGGAAGACAGCGCGCGCCGCGGTATGGGCGTTTTGAAACCGCTGAAAGTAACCCTCACAAACTGGACCGGTGGTGATGAAATTCTGCCAGGAAAATGGCACGGCAAAGACGAATCGTTGGGTGAGCGGGATATGCCTTTTTCGGGCGAGCTGTATATCGAGCAGGATGACTTTGCCATTGAGCCACCGAAAAAATGGAAACGGTTGAGTCCCGGTGAGATGGTGCGTTTGCGGTATGGGTATATTATTCGTTGTGACGAGCATGTCTGTGACGACGCAGGTGAAGTTGTGGAGCTGAAATGCACCTACTTTCCTGACTCCCGCTCCGGTTCGGATACCAGTGGACTGAAACCTAAAGGTGTTGTTCACTGGGTCTCTGCAGCCCACGCGGTACCGGTGGAAATTCGCAGCTATAACAGGCTGTTCCGTGTGCCGGACCCCTCAGCGACAAGTTTCCTTGAAGACATTAATCCAGACTCACTGGAAATTCTGCAGGGGTTTGTTGAGCCGGCGATTGTGGCGCACGAAGACACCCACTTTCAGTTTGAAAGGCAGGGCTATTTCTGCAAAGACTCAAAATTACCCGGGGTGTTTAACAAAACAGTTTCGTTGCGTGAGGGTTTTTAGAAAATGCACAGAGCAGAGCAGGTCACCATCATGGAAGTCAGCCCCCGAGATGGCTTGCAGAATGAAGATGCTTTGATCACTACCGAACAGAAGCTTCGACTGATTGATTACGCCCTGGATGCCGGGTGTAAGCGCATCGAGGTAACCAGCTTTGTGCACCCTGAACGTGTGCCTCAAATGGCAGATGCCGAAGCGGTCTGTGCAGGTCTGCCACAGCGGGGTGATGTGACCTACACCGGCCTGATTCTGAATGAACGCGGCTATGAGCGTTTGCGGGCCACCCAGCGACTTAACGAAGCGGGTTTGGTGGTGCCAGCCACAGACGTGTTTGGATTACGCAATCAAGGTCTGGATGTCGCTGATGCATTGACCATGGCTAAGAAAGTCATCAGCCATGGCGCTAACAACGGTTTTCCAGTGCAGGTCACCATAGCGGTGGCTTTCGGGTGTCCGTTCAGTGGTGATGTGCAGGCCCAGGCTGTAGTCGACATTGCCCAGGCGCTGGCAGAAGCTGCGCCGGTAGAGATTGCGCTTGCGGATACCATTGGTGTCGCCGTACCCATGCAGGTGTTTGATCTGTTCAGCGCGTTGCGTGAACGCCTAGGTCCCGATATGCCTTTGCGTGCGCATTTCCACGACACGCGCAACACGGGCATCGCCAACGCGTTTGCTGCTCTGCAGGCGGGGGTGAATACCCTGGATGCCAGTATTGGCGGTATCGGTGGCTGCCCGTTTGCACCCAACGCTTCGGGCAATGTGGCCACTGAAGATCTGGTCTACATGCTGAACCGGTCAGGTGTGGCCCATGGAGTCGATCTTGAGAAATTGATACAGGGTGCCCAGTGGTTGGGGCCAGCGCTCAACAAAACCCTGCCTTCGTCCCTGCTCAAGGCGGGTAATTTTCCTGCCTCTGACGGCGCTGAATAACTCTGGTGCAACGCACGCCTTCTTTTCGTAATGTCCGCGCAGCACATAAGCGCATAGCGGGCCGCATTCATGAGACACCTATGCTGAGCAGTGACACGCTGAGCAGGCTTGCCGGTGTCGACGTGTTGTTCAAATGCGAAAATCTGCAGAAAAGCGGCTCATTTAAATATCGAGGTGCACTGAACGCGGTACTGTCACTGCCTGACGCTGTGCGTAAGCTGGGTGTCGCGACACATTCTTCCGGCAATCACGGTGCGGCACTGGCGGCCGTGGCTCAGCGCCTGAATATTCCCGCCACCATTGTGGTGCCGAAAAATGCAAACAGGTTCAAGCAGGACAACATCCGCCGTTACGGTGGGCGCATAGTGCATTGTGGCAAAACGCTGAAATCGCGCGAACAGAAATTGGCAGAGGTGCTTGCGGATACGGGCGCCACGTATGTGCCACCCTATGATCATGCGGGGGTTATTGCCGGGCAGGGCACCTGTGCCCTGGAAATACTCAATACAACACCCGAAGTGGATGAAATCTGGCTGCCCGTTGGCGGAGGTGGCCTGGCTGCGGGTACGGTGCTGGCGACCTCTGATCCGGCCGTTGCCAATCAGCGGGTCCAAGTTGTTGGTGTTGAGCCGGCACTTGCTGGTGAAGCGCTGGTTGCCTTGCAGACGCACAAACGCCAACCACCGATGCCACCCCTCAGCATTGCTGATGGCTTACGCGCTTCACTGGGTGTTATGAATTTTAAAATTCTGCACGACTATCAGCTGCCGGTGCATCTGGTGAGTGAGCAGGAAATCATCGATGCTCAGTCCCTGGTCATGTCCTGTCTGAAGCTGGTGTTGGAACCCTCCAGCGCTGTACCTGTAGCTGCTTTGTTGAAACACGGCAGCGCTCGGCCTGACAGTCGCTCAGTTGCGATTATTCTCACCGGCGGCAACGTTCAGTTGCAGCTCTGAAAAGATTTTGCGGCGGTTCTACACCTGGGTCTGGTTGCTCAGCGCAGCTTTGAAATGCTGCACTGCATAGGTATCCGCCCAGCTGGAAAGCCGCCAGGAGTCGAGATAAGCGCCGTGTCCGCCACGATGGGTCAGATGCAGAACGATGCCTTCTGGTAATCGGCCATACTGCTCGGCTGGAATAATCGGATCGTCAGCGGCAGCCAGGATGTGAGCATTGACCCCCTGCAGGGCATCCGCGGACAGGTCATAAGCCTGAAAATACTCGTCTGTTGAGTCAAAGTCGGAATGGTAGCGGACAAAATAATCAGTCAGTGCGCTGACGGTGTTCAATGTCAGTGCATTCTTGAAATTGTACACACCCGGGAATGCTTTATCTTTTTCCCGCCACACGCTGCGCCACTTCTTGATGAAATAGCGCTGGTACATGGTGCTGGCATCGATCTGATACATGGTGCTGGCGGGTTCCATAGCCGGTGCAATTGCAAGCGTAGGCAAGCCGGGCAAAGCCCTGGCCACCCGCAACGCAAAATTGCCGCCCAGGGAATAACCCATCAAGCCGCTGCCTTTTGTACCATACAGTTCGTCCAGGTGAGCGACCAGCGCAACCACTTCTTCAATCATCGCTGAGTTGAACAGGCCCTGATTGAGGTGTGCGGTGTTGCCGTGATCGCGCAGATTGATACGCGCGGTTGAGAAACCATTCCTGGCCAGAACAGTAGCGCAGGAACGCGCATAAGAGGATTGTGAGCTGCCCAGCCAGCCGGGGATCAGCATGATCAGCGGCGCATCAGGAATCAGGTTGAGGTCAACTGCAAGGTTAACGCCGTTCAGCGTGATAATTTTCCGTTCTGCCGCGGCGTGGAACTGCTGTTGTACTTTGGAGGGCACAAGCTTGCGTCCCATGCTTGACAGCACGGTTTGTATGTGGGGGTTGTGCAGGCCTCTACCCGGTTGGAATGCGTGAGGATCGCCGCTCACGGCATTAGCAGCTGGTCAGAGTAAATACGCTCACCGCGAAACCCGCGGGCTTCAAGTAACTCGATGATGCTGTTGTTGCCGATGTAGTGAGCTGCACCAGCGATGACAAAGTAGGTGCCGCCCGCGTTCAGATAGCCTGCGATCTGGTCTGCCATGCCCACGTTACGTTCGTCCAGCAGTTGCTGCAAAAACGCTTTTGATGCTTCTGATGCGCCAGATTGTGCTGCAAAAGCCTGATAGAAACTCTGGTCATCGCCGCTGAGCCAGGCAGTTATCAAATCAGCGGTAAAAGGCTCAAATTCGTCCATTTGCTCAAGCGTGTCGCGCACCATGGCGACTTGCGTCGACAGCGGCTGGTTCATGAGCAGATCAAGCTGGAAGTCCAGGGTTTCCAGCGCCATCAGGTTTTTATCCGCCGCCTGTGACGTGAAATAGGTTTCTACGCCCTGACCTGGATCGTAGCCAACAGACATCAGTGCCAGCACAGCCAGTTGTTGCGTGATGAAGCCTGGTTTAAAAGGGCCGAGTTGGTTCAGTGGCAGGCCGTATTGAGCGGTCACGCTGTTTAAGGCACTAAATGTTTCCTCATTCAATACGTCTGTAAGCTGTTGATTGTTGGCAAGCACCGCGTATTGCATGGTTTTTGCCTGTAATTCAGCGGGTGTGAATGCGGTCATATCGACTTCCAGTACCAGATTGTCGGACAAGTCAAATGCTGTCTGATACTGGCGTGGGAGCGGATATAAGCCGCGCTTCAAAATATGCACCGAGCCCATCAGGTAGACCGTCGCCTTCTTGTGCTCATAACGCCACAGAAACAGCGGGTGGCGGGTATCAGGTAAAGCTGCGCGGATATCTGCAACGGTGGTCAGAGAGGCTTTGTCCAGAGAGACCAGTTCGCAGTACTCGGTGTCGCTATAGGGTGGTGGGTGCGCTATGGAACAAGCCTGCTGGGCCGCGGTGGCGGCAGCCAGTTTGTTGACCTGCCCTGTGACGCTGAAACGTTTCGCAGGTGAGGTGCTGAACACCGCTTCAGCGCTGTGGCCAGGTTTCATCTGCACAGTCGGCGTTGCGCTCCAGGCCTGCAGGGATGGCAACAGGCAAAGGAGCGCGACAACACTGCATTTTACAACGCGCATGATTTATTCCTCGCCGAGATCTTCGGGGGTTTCGCCGGCCGCAGTCACAGCAGCCATGATCGCCTGGGCAGTCGCTTCAATGGTTGCCGGGTCGGTGCCGCGAATAACCAGATTGGTGCCGTAACGTGATTCGCGAAAAAACGGGTAGCTGCCGACATCGACCTCCGGGAATTTATCCTGAATTTCACCCAATGCCTGTGCGATCTGGCTCTCGCCCATGTAAGCCCGTATGGAGCGTGAACGCACGACAGGACCGCTGCGCAGCGCGCCTTTCAGACTGGATAACATGCCCTGCATGATCATCGGAATGCCGGCCATCACGTACACATTGCCGATGTAAAAACCCTGTGGGCCGCCTGTCGGGTTATCTATGAGGCTGGCGCCGGTGGGCACTCGAGCCATCAGCAGACGGCTGGCCATGATGTCATCGGGAGCAGGGCGCTGGCGAATCCTCGCTTCGATGTCTGGATGCTGGATCAGCGGTACGTCAAAGGCTTTGGCGATACATTGCGCGGTGATGTCGTCGTGTGTGGGCCCAATACCACCGGTGGTGAAGACGTAATCGAACTGCGCGCGGGTTTCGTTGACGGTGTCAACGATCGTATCAACGTCGTCAGGAATTACCCGGGCATGCTTGACCTGAACGCCCCATTCACCAAGGGTTGTAGCCAGATGGTTCAAGTTCACGTCTTGTGTTCGGCCAGACAGGATTTCGTTGCCTATGATCAATACGCAGGCGGTTACAGCTTGTGGCATGGATGGTTTGCTCTGTTCAGAAATTCGCAGCGCGCATACTAACAGGTGTGTGCTGCGCTGGGGATGTGTTCGTGGATCCTTACGATCGTGTGACGCCTCTCGCGTGTAACACTTGCTAACAATTTTGTGACGCAAACCCTGTGTTTTTAGTGGTTTCCTCTTTACCGTGTAAGTTGTGAAAGGTAGAGTGCTTCCCGTTCTGGTATCGGCGATTTGGAGGGGGTCGTTACCAGGATGTACTGCCTAAGACCTGGTAATTGGGAACGCGCTTTTGGGTTGTTTTGGTAGGTTGGCGAAGTAACAATGGATTCCTCCAGATGAATGCACGACGCAAAATAGGCGTTTCGACGCGGCGAAATTTAAGTGGACGTGGTTATTGTCAACCATTTTCACACTTTCAGCTTTTCTTCGGCGTTTTTATCCTCGGACTGTTGACTGGCTGTGGCAGTGATCGCGGTCTCCCAGGTTCTGCTGGACCTGTTAACGCAGAAAGCGATAGCCTTCCACCTTCTCTGAATTTAGTAGCGTCACCTGAAACCGTATCCCCAGGAGGAACAGTCAAATTATCTTGGCAAAGTTCTGCTACAACAAGTTGTGAATCCTCTGGAGATTGGAGTGGGGCTCGTCCAATCAATGGTGAAGAATCAATTGGTTCGTTGGAGAGTTCACAGACTTTCATGCTCAGCTGTTCAGGTAATGGCGGAGTCGCGTTCCGACAAGTTCAAATTGATGTTCTAGATGACGACGAAGAGGTTTCTCTGTCATTGTTTAGTGATGCAGAAGTGGTTGCGCTAAATGAAACTGTCCAAATATCTTGGTCAAGCAGTAACGCGGATAGTTGCGAGGCCAGAGGGGCTTGGAACGGCCAGGTTGCCACCAGTGGCACATTTACGTCCGCGCCATTGAACGATGATGCTTTGTTCCAATTAACCTGTTTTGGACAGGGACAAAGTGCGATCTCGCAGCTGGGAGTATCAGTTAAGGGTAATTCTTCTCAGTGGGCGTCCCCAACTTAGATGGGCTCAACTATAACGTGATTTCGAATCCCTGAAGTTTCGTGGTTTCAGTGGTTTTTATCGGAAGAAGGATAAATCGCTTCTACTTTATTGTTCTAAGGCAGACTTTGGCCCGTTAAGGTGACCCTCTTCGGAAGAGTGTATAGCGCAAAGTAATTATTGCAGACCAAGCGTCATAGTTGCTGGTTATCTCGGTAGCATCGCTGTCACGCTCTTCGTAGCGAATGGTCAACGCTGTGGTTAAGTTACGGCCGATATCATAATCAATGCGCAAATCACCACGCAGGGTATCCGCGTCTTCACCTTGATCTTCAAAATCCTCATTCTCAAATGATATCCCTAACGCGCCGCGTACTTGCCGAGTTATTGCGCGGCTCAGGCCTACCCTTAGCGCTTGACGTGTGGTGTCACGAGCAAGGTCTTCGTAATCTTCTTCGACATAGTCTGCACCAAAGGTCATTGACGTGCTTTCATTCAGACGCTGGCTCACGGTCAAACTGAGGCGGTCATTTGTGAATACTTCACCCAGGTCGGAGTCTGCAGAAAAATCAAGATCGTCTGCAAAAGAACCTGAATCTAGGGCGCTGGACTGATCCTGAATATCGTGTTGCAGCGTTAACCCTACTTGAGTGCCGGGGCGTGCCTGCCAGTCGGCTTGTAGATCAAGTATAAAATCGTCTATGTCCTCTCGACCCAGTGTGCGTTCCGCCCTTTTATAGCCGCCGGTGAAGGTGTACTCGAGGTTGTTCAGCTGCCGATCGAGAGTGACCTTAGCGATCTGATATTCGATATCAGGAATAAATGGGTTTTCGTACTGCACCTGGTTCTGCGTGAGTGCCAATGCCACAGAATTGGTTGGCGAGGTTACCAGTACATAGCTCAAGCTGGTGTCGTGCGTTATTGCATCGGTTTCAGTTTCGCTAGACTTACGGATCCCATACAGATAGCCGAGTAATATCTGGTCCTGGCCGCGGGGGTTAAACCTGAGTGTCGGTCCCGCGCTGGTTACGGAAGTTTCTTGTCTGTTATCTGGCGTTGCACCGCCGGTGATGGTTTGAATGGCGGTCTGGGTGCGGGTATGACTTGCGGTCAAAGCCAGGCGTTCTGGCAGTGCGTCCCACACTATGTTTGCCGTACCTGCGGATTCGGTGTCGTTATCAAACAGATCTTCCTGGTGGATGCGCCTGTTAACGTTGTAGTCGACATCTAGTTCTAGGTTTGGTCCCTCGTGGTTGGCGACCAGCCCTACTCCCGGAGAATGGATCCACTCGGAGACCTCATCTTCATTGGTTAAACCGGTATTGGTGGTGTACTCGGACTCCTGGTTCAGGGTGACGTTGTATTCCAACGCAAAAATCGCGGATGTTGGAACCAGGCAGAGTGCCGCTGTGACAACGACAGGCAAAATACGCATATCAGCTCCCAGCTTTAAAAGGCGCGTTCAGGCACCGTGACAACATCACCGGGCATGAGCGGATGGTTTGTACTCATATCACCGCGATTCATTATTCCACGCAGGTCGACGTCGATACGTTCACCGCTCTTACGGAACAGAGTGGATTTTGTCGGGTTAGCAAATTCTGTCAGGCCGCCGGCCTCCAGAACCACATCAAGGACAGTCATGCCTTGTCGGTAAGGGATAGAAAGTGGGTCTTCCACCGCCCCTGTTACCCGCACGCGTGAGCGATACTCGTCGCTGCCCATGGTGGTCACGATGACGGTCACGTAAGGATCGCGAATAAACTTGGCCAGTTTCTCTGTGATGTCGGCGCTGACTTCTTCGGGTGTTTTTGCACCCACGGTAATGTCTCCTGCCAGAGGGACAGAAATTTTACCGTCTGGCCTAACCGGTACGCTGATACTCAAATCCGCATTGCGCCAAACATTAATATCTAACTCATCACCCACACCGATTCGATATTCATCCGCAAAACCGACCGGCGCAGCGGCTGCAGCTGGTGGTGGCGCGGTTGTGGTGGAACACGCGCTGAGTGTTACCAGACACAGAAGCGTGGTTATCAAACCGCGTATAGGTGTGAAGTGAGCGAAAGCTGTTTTGTTGTTCGTCATTGGCTGTTGTCCTTATCCCCTGCCGTTTGCTTGTGAGCTGATGATACTCGCTTTTAGGCTCGCTGCGACCCTCCTATAAAAGGCGCTTACATCTGAACACAACGCGCCTACAGCCAAAGCAGGCCGATTTATCGACACTGGTGTTGATGATTGGGGAGACGTTTGTAACATGGCAAAGGAAATGGAATTGACGCAGCAGGCAATGGACAGCAGGGCACACTTAACCGTACGAGAGGGAGAGCCCGCCAGATTATGGTACCGCTGTGACCGTATTTTCTGCGTTGACAATGCCTGGTATTTTCACACCCGTGAAGGACTGGATGTGGGGCCCTATCGATGTCAGTTTGATGCGGAGTTAGAAGCCGGTCTGCTGCTGCAGAAGTTGCGGCAGACGCCCGAGGCTCAAATCCATCAGGTGATACGTAATCACATGTTAGAAACCCAAGGTGGTGCTGGCGCGCTAAATACCGCAGCGTTTACCGACTATCTGATAGAAGTAGGCGGCGTTGAACTGCTGCGCCAGGCAACACGCTGACGCCTCGAAACGAGTTCCGCTTACAGCTAGCGACCCTTGAATGTCGGACTGCGCTTTTCCCGAAAGGCGCGTCGGCCTTCGGCGTAGTCTTCGCTGTTAAAACACATCTCAACCATCTGACCGATCTGTGCAACAGCCTCTGGCTCGCTGCCGGATTCCCACACATCAATGGCCGCTTTGGCGGTTTTGACCGTTAGCGGCGCATTGCCTGCAATGCGCCGGGCGTAGCTCAGGCAGGCGGATTCGATAGCGTCGCGGGATTCAATGAAGTTAATGAGCCCCATGTCTTTTGCTTCCTCAGCGGGCATGAAGCGAGCGGAAAACATGATGTCCCTTGCGTGGCTGGGGCCCACTACGCGTGACAGCTTGGCCAGCCCGGGATATTCATAACCCAGGCCTAACTTTGCCGCAGGAATACCAAAGGTGGAATCCGGGGTCGCGAAGCGGATGTCTGCTGCAAGGGCAGTGGCCAGCCCGCCGCCAATACAATACCCTTCGATTAACGCAATCAGCGGTTTTTCGAAGCTGTTCATCCATTTGGTCGCGCGACCAGCAATTTTATTGTACGAGGCCTGTTGTTCTGCGTTGGAACGTTTCTCTTCAAATTCAGAGATGTCTGCGCCGGAAACAAAAGCTTTACCGCCGGCACCGCGCATGACCACAACCCGTACATTGTCGTCAGCAGCATAGTTTTCAAGAATATCGCCAATGGCCTGCCACATTTCTAACGACAGGGCGTTGTGGCGGGCCGGGTTATTAAACACCATCCATCCCACGCCATTATCGATGTGTGTCTGCATGCGATCTGTGTTGAGCGTTAACGACATTGCTTTTCCTAACGGTTTGTTTGTTCTTTTATCTGCTCGGCGCGAGCCAGCATGCGTTGTGCGCGAACCAGGTGGGGTACGTCTACCATCTGACCTTTGAAGCTGATTGCCATAAGCCCTTCCTGTTCTGCCTGGCCAAATGCCTCCACAAGCTCGCCTGCCTCAGAAACTTCCGCGTCGCTTGGTGTAAAGGCCTGATTCACAATATCAATCTGCTTAGGATGGATAGTTATTTTGCCCGTATACCCCATCCATGCCGCTTCCTGACATTCCTCTGCAAGTCCCTGAGTGTCATTGAAGTCGACAAACACGGAATCAATCGGTTGCACGCCACCGGCGGCGGCGCTGAGCAATGTGATGTTGCGGCAGTGGGTGTACAGGTCCAGATAACTGCCGTCCGGACGCCTGTTGCGAGGCGCTGCAAGGGCAGCGGACAGATCTTCAGCACCCCAGGTCAGCCCTATAACCCGCTGGCATGCAGTAAAAGTCGGTAGGTTCAGAACGCCCAGTGGCGTTTCGGTAGATACCAGGATCAGGCCAACCTGTCCGTTGGGGTGGCCGTACTGAGCTTCAAGGCGATCGAGCTCTGCGCTGATGGTGTTCAGTTCTTCCAGCGTGGATACTTTCGGAACAATGTAAGCATCCGGTGGGCATACCATGGTTTCGGCAAGATCCTGCAGGCCCCAGGGGGTATCTAACGGGTTCATCCGCACGGTGCGTTCTTTATTGCCAAAATCAGCCTCTTTCAGCCATTGGCTGACAATCTGACGGGCAGCGTCTTTCTGTTTGGGGACAACTGCATCTTCAAGATCAAGAATGAGGCAGTCGGCATTGCTGGCAATAGACTTCTGCAGCATCTTTTCGTTGGCGCCAGGCACAAAGTGGGCTGACCGGCGCAATCGTTGGGTGCCAGGGGAATGCTGTTTCATCATTTTCGAATTATCAAGGCTGTTTCATCATCATGGCGCCGCGTATACAGCTGCAGACAACTTCGCCGCGCTGATTGGTTGCCGTATGTTCAAATGTCACGATGCCACGGTCGGGTTTTGATTTGCTGGCGCGCTTTTCAACCACTTTGCTGTGTGCCGTAAGTGTGTCGCCGATGAATACCGGATTGGGGAAGGTGGTTTTATCAAATCCCAGGTTGCCCAGTGTGGTGCCCAAGGTGGTATCACCCACTGATAAACCAACCACCAGGCCGAGGGTGAATATGCTGTTCACCAGAATCTGACCATGAATCGAATGCTTGGCAAATTCCGCATCCAGATGCAAAGGCTGGGGGTTCAACGTCAACGCGCTGAACAGCAGATTGTCTGTTTCTGTGACTGTACGGCTGGGCTGATGAGTGAATTCATCGCCCACCTGAAGGTCCTCGAAATATTTTCCAGGCATGTTTATGCTCCCCTAAAGCGATGTACAACTTACCTTGCTCCAGTTTAAATGCCAATTCACCATTAGAAGAAACGTCCATGGATTTTGAACTCACTGATCAACAACTGCTTATTCAACAAAGCGTGTCCAGGCTGTGTGCCGACTATCCGGATGAGTACTGGTCGCAAAAGGATAAGGATCATGAGTTCCCCTGGGATTTTTACGATGCCATGGCTGCCGCAGGGTGGTTAGGTATTGCCATACCGGAAGCTTACGGCGGCAGTGGTCAGGGCATCACCGAAGCAAGCCTTGTACTCGAGACCATTGCAGCCAGCGGCGCTGCGATGAATGGGGCAACGCCTATCCATCTATCGATATTCGGCATGCATCCTGTGGTGAAATACGGCACGGAAGAGATGAAGCAGAAGTATCTGCCTGCGGTGGCCAGTGGTGATCTGCATGTTGCCTTCGGCGTCACCGAGCCCGATGCAGGTACCGATACCACATCAATCTCAACGTTTGCCAGGTTAGATGGCGATACTTACACGGTTAAAGGTCGCAAAGTCTGGACCACCAAGGCATTACAGTCCCAGCGCGTACTTCTGCTGGTGCGAACCACCCCCAAAGATCAGGTCGAACGGCGAACCGATGGGTTAACTCTGTTGTTGGCTGAACTGCAGCGGCCGGAGGTGTCGATATCACCCATCGATAAACTGGGTCGAAATGCAGTGGCAACCTGTGAGGTGGTGTATGACAACCTGCCGGTACTGGTGACCGACCGGGTCGGCGAAGAAGGGAAAGGTTTCCGCTACATTCTCGATGGTTTAAATGCGGAACGGATACTGATTGCAGCAGAAGCGTTAGGCATCGGACGGGCAGCTCTGCGACGCGCTGTGAATTATGCTAACGAAAGAGTTGTGTTTGGTCGACCAATCGGTAAGAACCAGGGTATCGCGTTCCCATTGGCGGAGGCCAGAATGCGTCTGGACGCTGCGGAGCTGATGATCCGTAAAGCCAGCTGGATGATTGACCAGGGCCTGCCCTGTGGCGCTGAAGCCAATATGGCGAAGTGGCTGGCGGCGGATGCTTCTTTTTTCGCGGCCGATCGTGCCATGCAGACTCACGGCGGGTTTGGCTATGCCACTGAATACCATGTTGAACGCTACTGGCGTGAAGCGCGGCTGATGAAAATTGCGCCCATCTCTCAGGAGATGATACAGAACTATGTGAGTGAGCATGTGCTGGGGCTGCCCAAGTCTTATTAGTTGCTCAATAATGTTTTAAAACACCGTTAATAACTGACAAGGCTGGAGTTCAGGTTATGGCCAGAGAGATGCTTCTGTGTGCGTTTGACATGAATTGCGTAGGCCACCAATCCCAGGGACTGTGGCGCCACCCGCGGGATCATTCTGCAGATTTCAACACCATGAAGTACTGGCAGGATCTGGCTCGCACGTTAGAGCGAGGTTTGTTTGACGGTATTTTCCTGGCTGACGTGACAGGTGTTTACGATGTTTTTGGTGGGTCACCGGATGCGGCTCTGCGCGCTGCCACCCAAGTGCCCACCAACGATCCCTTTACCATCGTGCCGGTCATGGCGTCTGTGACAGAAAATTTGTGCTTTGGCGTAACAGGTTCCATCCCCTACGAGCCACCCTACAGTTTCGCAAGAAAAATTTCGTCCCTTGATCACCTCACTTCGGGACGTATCGGCTGGAACATTGTTACTGGTTATCTTGATAGTGCCGCTAAAGGGATTGGTCAGGATAAGAAAGAAGCGCACGACACCCGTTATGACATCGCGCATGAGTATATGCAGGTGGTTTACGCCTTGTGGGAACGCAGCTGGGAAGATGGGGCGGTTCTGCGGGACCGTACAAGTGGGGTCTTCACAGATCCAGATAAAGTTCACCGCATCGATCACGATGGCAAATACTTCAAGTTAAACGCGATCCACTTATGTGAACCATCACCCCAGCGTACGCCTGTGCTTTTCCAGGCAGGCACATCACCGAAGGGGCAGGCTTTTGCAGGCAAGCACGCGGAATGTGTGTTTATTGGGGGTCACAATGCTGAGCAACATGCCAGATCTGTTGCCAGTCTGAGGGCACAGGCAACGGCGCATGGTCGGGATCCGAGCGACCTGAAAATTTTCGGCGCAATAACCGTAATTGTTGCGCCAACGGACGCGCAAGCAGAAGAAAAACTGGCTGATTATAAAAGCTATGGTCTCAACGAGGGTGCGCTTGCACTGCTTTCAGGCTGGACCGGAATGGATCTGTCTGAATTGGATATGGATGCCACCGTCCAACAGGTTGAATCCGACGCTATTCAATCTGCCTTGTCCGCCCACGGTAGCGCGACGGTCAGAGATTGGGCTGAGGACCTTACCGTTGGCGGCGCAGGTCCGATCATTACGGGTTCGCCGGAAACCATTGCCAACAAGCTGGAACAATGGTTTGCAGTGTCGGGTCTTGATGGGTTCAATCTTGCTTATACAGTGATGCCTGAGTCGGTAGAAGAATTTGTAGATCTTGTCATCCCGGAGTTGCAGGAGCGGGGGGTTTACAAGCGCCATTATCAGCCAGGGACATTCAGAGAAAAACTCGGGCGTAAACAACCGCGTTTAGCGGCCCCTCATCCTGGCGCGGGCTATCGGCGCTAATTGAGCACTTCAAAACCTGCTATGCAGGTCGCTATGTTGGCTACGACTGCGATGGCTGCATTTGCTGCCAATTCAGTGCTGTGCCGTATGGCACTGCGAGCAGAGTTGATTGACCCTGCCTCTTTCACCACGCTGCGGCTGTTTGCAGGCACCCTTTGCCTGCTTTTCATTGTTGCTGTTCGCAGCAAAATGCGCGGAACAGATTGGCGGCCTGCAAAACCCGTCTGGAAGTCTGTGTTGGCGCTTAGCGCCTACATGCTGTGTTTCTCCTTTGCTTATCAATCGCTAAGCACAGGTAGCGGCGCGCTGCTTTTATTCGGGTCTGTCCAGCTCATCATGATCAGCACTGCGATTATTCGCGGCGAGCGCTTATCAATGCTTGCCTGGGTGGGGATATCCGTCGCAGGAAGCGGTCTGGTGTACCTCGTTTCGCCGGGAATCCAAGCGCCCGAGCCGATGTATTCCGCACTTATGTTGGTGGCCGGGCTGGCCTGGGGTGCGTACTCTCTTTTTGGTCTTCAGGGTGACGACCCAACAAGCGCTACGGCAAACAACTTTCTTTATGCAACCCCTGTTGCGCTTCTCGTGAGCCTGATAGACAGCAGCAATATGCATTTAACCTGGCCAGGCGGGCTTTTTGCCCTAGCGTCGGGTGCGCTGGCGTCGGGTGCCGGATACGCAATCTGGTATGCAGTCCTGCAACACATCAAAGCAACAACCGCCGCAGTGATGCAACTATCCGTACCCGCTCTGGCGGCTCTGGGTGGCGTGCTGTTGCTGGCCGAACCGCTGACGCTTCGACTGGTACTCGCTACGGTTCTGACTCTGGGAGGCATTGCGCTTTTCCTCAGGCAACAGCCGCGTGCCTGAAAAACCCAGTAGTTGGGTGACATGTCACGGCAGAGCGTATCAATCGTGACCTAACATCTTATCCAACCACCACTGATTCAGCTGCCAGATAGATTTTTCCAGTGGTGATAGTCTTCCCTGTTCTGTCATCGGTGCGTTCAGACCCACCCAAACGAGATCGTTAGCTTCGATATCTTCCTGATGAATGGCGGAAACCGATTCCGCCATTTCTGCCACCATGGATTCAAAATCTGCATGCTCGGCAGCGGATTTCGGCATCATCAGGTGGATCTTCAGAGTCAGATGATTTGCAGCAGCGGGTATGACCTGATACCAGGCGGCGCCCTGTCCATGAATGCCCAGCATGAAGTGCGGAAAAATCACGCTCGCAAAGAGGTCTTTCGCCTGCCAGTCTTCAAGCCCCGCAATGGTGGCAGAGCCCGGTGGCATTTCTTCAAAAGCTGCTGGCATATGCAATATTGACCAGGGTCCTGTGTTGTCCGGCACTCGAGAATCTCTGGCATGAAAAACCGGTTCAAAGGTGGTGGAGTGAATCGCAATGTGGTGATAGGCCTCCATGAAGTTTTCAACAAGTACCTTCCAGTTCCATCCACTATCGAACGTCAATGTTTTTGCGACAAACATGTCACCCATCTGGAAGTTCTTGAAGTAGTCGGTGAATGCTGCGATCTGCGGCGCTAACGGCTGCGCATCGGGGTCAAGGTTAGCCAGGATGAATCCCTCCCACACTTCAGACCGGATCTGCGGCAGCCGGTGTGCATTTTCGGTGAAGTCTTCCGCGCCTTCCATCAAGGGTGCCCGGCGAAGTTGCCCCGTGGTGTCGTAGCTCCACGCGTGATAGGGGCAGGTGAAGACATTACGTTTCCCGCTCCCCTGGGCAATGGGCGCACCACGGTGCAGGCAGACACTGGACATTACACGGATTTCATCGTCCGCGCCGTGGACCACCATCACAGGTTGCCCGAGTAGATCCAGGGTCAGGTAGCTGCCGTGTTCGGGAACCTGGTCTATGCGAGCGATAGGCAGCCAGCTTTTGCGCAGGATATGCTCGCATTCGAGCGCGTATATTTCTTTGCTGGTGTAAGCAGCGCGGGGCAATGTATAACCGGATGGCAGGGGTAGTCTGGCTTTTGCTATCTCGTCTGTGTGGATACCCGGTAGTGATCTCTTGCGGATGCTCATCCTGTTATCTCCAAAGCTTGCGGACCAGACTGCATTGCCGCTGACACAACAGGCAATGAAGGTTTGGGCACTGTTATCTGGGATGATACTTGTTCAGACAGGCGAATACCTGTGCTCGTGTATCATGGACCCTGTTCCATGGGAGTAAACATCAGAACATTATGATTGTGGCAGCTGAGCTCATTCCATTCTGGCTCAATCTCGCCAGCGGGTTTGTCATGCTGATCTGTATAGTGGGGGCGGGCCTATCGGCGCCCTGGCCTGCATTGTGGGCGGCGTCAGAGCGCCAGCACGTTCTTCTTGGTGGTCTGCTGGCGCTGCTGTTCTTGTGGCTGCTCTCGTTTCAGGTCATTGCGGGCGTCTGGATACATCTTCTTGGTGTCACCAGCCTGACGCTGATTGTAGGTTGGCGCTTCACTATTCTTGGCGCAACGCTGGTCCTTTTCGTTTTTCTCTGGTGGCTGCAGCAATCCATGTTGGCCGCACCTCTGGCCTGGCTGTTTTCTGTGCTGGTGCCAGCAACAACAACCAGACTGCTGGTCCATTTTCTGCGCACCCACGCGTTGAGGAACCTGTTTGTTTACATGCTGGGGGCAGGTTTCGGAGGTGGCCTGCTGAGTGTGTTAGTGCTGGGCATCCTCGCTTTGCCAACCTTCTGGGTGATCGGTCAGCCAGAATGGATAACCTTGTCGCTGGACAACTGGGCTTTCATTCTGCTGCTGATGTTCCCTGAAGGCTTCATCAACGGCATGCTGGTCACAGCTTTTACAGTTTTCTATCCGGACGTCGTCAAGACGTTCAACGAAGACTTTTATCTGAAGTAGCCCTGGGCCGCCTCAAACCCCGAGTTTTTTACAATGAGATGGCCGCGGCGAGCGAGCGAGGATCGTCTCCGCGAAAGGTTTCAGCGGCTCATTTTTATTTTGCTTTTCTGTCAACCGATTGGCGGCTCGTTCGTTATTAACTCTACGATCAACAGCAAAAGCAGGTTAGTTATGAATCCGCAGTTTACAAAAAGCATTGTGCTTGGAACGGCTCTCACCCTTTTTTCCATCTGCGCCAGCGCTGATACAGGCGATCGGATTAAAAACAGGCTCGATCAACGGGGTGATCGGGTGGAAAACCGCCTGGATAATCGGGGAGATCGTGTGAATGATCGGCTGGATGTGGCATCACAGCGTGCAAATGCGAATGATAAACCGCGTTATGCCGCTCGTCTGGATCGTAAAGGCGATCAAATAGATCACCGCCTCGATCGGAAAGGCAGCCGTATCGATCACCGCCTGGATCGCAAAGGTGCGCGAATCAACCGCAGGCACTGAGCGCTGCTGAGTACATCACATTTCAAGCGTAAAACAACGTGATCCAAAGCCAGACCTTATGGATCACGTTGGCTATGCTGATCAGATGGTCAATCCAGTCGATCTAAACCAGTTTCTGGCAAGCGTGGAAAAGAGGGCGTATAGCATGGCTATGGTTTCCGTGAGAAATGTTGACGATGCCTTAGATATCGTGCAAGACGCTATGTTCACGCTGGCCAGAAAATATGGCAGTAAACCCAGCAACGAATGGGCGCCGTTATTCTATCGTGTGCTCAACAATCGCGTGATGGATTTCCATCGCGCGAACAGCCGCCGGGCTGGGCTCTTCAGCCGGTTTGTTTTTACTGACGGTCAGCCACAGGATGACATTGAGCAGATTGCCGGTTCGCCCCGGGACAATCCGGAGTTTAGTCAGGAACTAGATGCATCTACGGCGCGCTTGTTTGAGAGTTTGGCTCAACTACCCGCCCGCCAACAGCAGGCGTTTATGCTGCGTGCCTGGGAAGGCATGGATGTGAAAAATACAGCGAAGGCGATGAACTGTTCCACCGGTTCAGTTAAAACACATTACTCCCGCGCGGTGCACACCTTGCGGGACAGTCTACGAGAAGAACTGCAAGACTACGATGATGGATGAACTGCACCCGGAAGATCAGAAATGGGCTGAACAAGCAGGTCAACAACTGCGCGAACAGGAGCAGATTCTCGCCCAGGTATCTCAGGCTAGGCTGCGCAGCGCGCGTGCGCAGGCACTGCAGGTGTTGCCCGAAACGCGCAGATCCTGGCTGTTGTGGCCAACACTGGGGTTGGGCAGTGCTTGTGCCGCGATGCTTGTCTGGGCTGTCCTGTTCACAACACCGGTGGACAGGCTACCCGTGCTGGATGATGAAGAAATGGCGGCGGCGCTGCATGTTGAGCTGCTGGAAGAACTTGAGTTTGTTGCCTGGATGATGACTGAGGAGGACGCCACCGATGCACCCTCTCAAGGTTAGGTTTCTGTTTGGTAGCCTATTGATACTTTTATCAGTGCAGGTTCTTTCCGAGGAAGGTCAACTGCCAGTTGAGATGTCTTTCCTGGAATACCTGGGCGCCATGATTGAAGTAGATGGACAATTACTCGACGTTACCGAAGTGTTTTCCCGGGAGATTCAAGACGCTGGGCAACCTGCCCAGATAGAAAACAACAATGACACATCTGCTGAATTGCCCGTGGGGCTGCCGGAGGTTCGACAATGAAAAGGCTGATTCTGTTCCTGGTATTGCTGACAAGTAGTAATTTATCCTGGGCCGTCGACTGGAGCGAGTTGTCAGGACAGCAGCGCCAGGTGCTTGGTGCTTATCAAGATAACTGGGAAACACTGCCGGAGGTGCGGAAGCAGCGTTTGATATTGGGTTCCGACCGGTGGTTGTCGATGGACAGTCAACAGCGTAAACAGATGCAGAATCGTTTTAGGAAATGGCAATCACTGGACACCAGACAACGAGAGCGGTTGCTGCAGCGTTGGCAGATGTTCAGTCAACTACCGCCGGAGCAGCGCCAGGAGATGCGCAAAGGACTGACGCGATTTAAGCAGCTCACGCCAGCCCAGAAAGACAGGTTGCGAAAACGGTTCAGAAATCTTTCTCCGGAAGAGCGCACCCGGGCCTTTCAGCGTATGCAGAAGAGAGCGAATTCCAACCGTCAGAGCCCGCCTGGAAGATAGTCCTGGGGCAGCTCAACGCCCAAGCTTTTTACGCTTGCCTTCCACATAGTCCACTAGAATATATTCACCCAACTGTTCCGGTGAGGTGTAAAAAACTCGTCCGCCATTCATGCGCGCCACTTCCTGCATGAATGCGCGCAGGTATTCAGAGGATTCCAGCATAAAAGAATTGATCGCAATGCCTCTGGTGGTGCAGCGTTTTACTGCTCTGAAGGTTGCGCGTATGGTTTCAGCCGTGGGCGGATAGGCAAACATGGCCTGACCGTTTTCCATGTGTGCCGTTGGCTCTCCGTCTGAAATCATGATGATCTGTTTACTGCCGCCAGGGTGTTTAGACAACAGGCGCTCTGCCATCAGCAACGCGTGTTGCATATTGGTACCCAGCACGTATTCATCCCACTGCAGGAAAGGCAGGTCCTGGGGTTTGAGCTCTTTAGCCGTTGCTGCAAAGCCGATGATGTAGAAACTGTCTTTCGGGTATTGGCTGGTAATCAGGTTATGCAACGCCAGCGCAACTTTTTTAGCCGCCTGGAAAGAGCCGCGCAACGCCATAGACCAGGACAGGTCCACCAGCAGTGCGGTTGCTGTTGAGGTGATCTGCTCGCTGCGGTAGACCTCAAAGTCTGACGGATTGAGCTGCACCGGCGCGCCTGGACCCTGTCGATTAATCGAGTTGCGAATGGTTCTTGGCATATGCAGATGGAAGGGGTCGCCAAATTCGTAGGCTTTGGTATCTTCCATGCGTTCACCAAAACGGCCTTCTTCAGGTATCGCGTGATTACCCAGGCTCTGT